TTTGCAAGTTTCTGAAGATGAGAGTTTTATTATTTAAAACAAAAAGTTAAATTTTTATTGGCTTTATCATAGCACATTTTTTTTCTTTTCAATTTAAAATGTAGTTTATCAATAATAGCATAATATGTATTAATCCTTAAAGAGTCTCGAATTTCAAAGTTCATTTCTTCTTCTCTTTTTTCATCTGCAGTTAATTTTGTTTTTGTTTTGAGTGTTTTTCGATATGTTTTGTGTTCCGATTTATTAATTGCTCTCTCGCTTCATAGATATCAAACATGCTACTTAAACCTAATACATATCTAACAAACGATTTGTATAAACTAACAACTGTTTCTAAATGAATTTTAACTGATTGCAAATGTTTACTTTTGTTGAATCTTAGTATATCACCTCCTAATGTGGCCATTTTAATCGTTTCAAGCTCCTGATCTTGTGATTGACTTTTGTGATTTATCGTCTTTAATAAAAGACAGTGCATTAATTATTTCATTTCAATTTTTGTTTAAACTAGTTTTTACATCAGATCTGGCTGACCAACTGGGATCTTATAGTTTTTAAGTGATGCATTTTCTGTTTTTATTAAATTGCTCTGAAGTATTTCTCACCTATATATAAAAGCACTGAAAAAGTTATAGATATTTTAAAGCAAAATAAAAAATCTGAAGCATTTCTAAAACAGTCCACAGCGCATCCACTATCAAGAATTTAAGAGTGTGTCAAGCATGGTACTAATGTAGCTAAAGCATTAACTTTTTTAATGCGAGGTTGAAATCCTGTATACCTACCAGACATGTTAGGCGCATTGTAATCGCAACTACAACTATTGTTTATATCGAATCCATCCAATTCTGAAACTAAAATATAACATCTGCTTATTCTTCAGAATTATGACTAGAGTTGGGTAAAAACGCTAATCTTTCTACCGGACAACCGATCTTTTGAACATACCGAAAAATTAACACAGTTAATCTACACGGCCAATATCAGAAGTAGAATCAATACTGATAAAAAAAATATTTACCTAATAATTTGAGCATAGTTATGTATAATTTGCAGGTGGACTTTGATCGCCTTTTGAATGATACTTTCTTCTGCTAACTATACAAATTTATAATTTTTATAAAGATGAATTTCCAATGGTAATATTCTCTTTAAAAAAAAAAATGCGCGTGTATACTTGTAGACAGAAAAGCAAATAATTAGAAATCTTCCCGCAAAAAACTTAGGTATATATAGTAGGACTATAAGTCGATTTATGATTTGGACATAGTAATAATGTAAATATTTTCGTGGAAATAATATAAAATTACTATTTAACAACTTTTTAAGATATACTCCCACTTATTCTTTTTCTACCGGAAATGTAAAGAAAAAATAATCACGTGAGCATGCGTAGTATAACTTTTAGTTTGTAGGAAACAACTGCGCATGTTTACTTGATTATTTTTCAAATTCCCTTCAAAATAAAATGAATGGAAACTAACCTTTATGATTATACTCATTATAAAAATAATCTTAAGATGACTGATTATATAAGATTATTTTATTAATGATAAAAATCAGTCTTATGATGACAATTTGGATTTTGGTATTTAGACACGTTCAAGAGTTCAAATGCTGGGTCTATGATGCGGGGACAACCGGTTTTAATATATATATATATATATATATATATATATATATATATATATATATATATATATATATATATATATATATATATATATATATATATATATATATATATATATATATATATATATATATATATATATATATATATATATATATATATTGTTTTTTTTTTTGTTTTTTTTTTTTTGTTTACATTTGCCGTAAAATAAATACTATATTTTACAAGAACAAAGAAAACAAGGCTTCTGAAAGAAGATCTACTGATCTTATCATCAGAACCTTTACAATTTTATCATACCATAAAACTGAAAATATAAATCCAAAAACGGCCGTAATAATAAATATATAATAATAAATTCATAATATTAATCACGTATCTGTAATAATAATTCTCACAAATTTGTTATAATAATCCATAATAATAAATTTTATAGATCTGATATAAATTAAAGAAAATAAATTTATTAATATAAATATTATTATAAATCTCATAAATCAAGTTTATACTTCAAGCTAATAGTAACTTAAAATGTCATCCATAGCAAGAATGAATTTTTTAAATTCATTTTTAAAAACAGAAAAACGGATAAAAGGATCAAAATTAGGCAGAACTATTTTATTCCAAAGGTAAGTATTGTCAATATTGTCTCTTTTTGAGCTAGATATATATATATATATATATATATATATATATATATATATATATATATATATATATATATATATATATATATATGTATATATATATATATATATATATATATATATATATATATATATATATATATATATATATATATATATATATATATATATATATATATATATATCTAGCTCAAAAAGAGACAATATTGACAATACTCGT